GAGCGTTCTGGGCGCGGGGCGGGGGCAGGATTCGGGTGGGGGGCTGAGGGCGCAGCCACGCGGCGGTGGGGCGGGGTGAGCGGTGCAGCAGGGTGGGGCGTGCGGAGCTGCGGGGGTGGGCAGGAACGCGGTTGGGGCATAGGCGCCAAGCGGCGGGGGGGTACCGGTGTGGGGTGCGCAGGAGCACGGGTGGGACGTGGCGGGCGGTAAGCGTGCGGCACGGGGTGGGTCGTGAGGGCGCGGGGCGCGGGTTGGGCGCGTGGCGCTCAGGGTGGGGCAGCGGGATGCGGTGTGTGGAGGGACGTTGGGTAGCATGTGTGTGGCGTTGGTCGGCGTGAACATGGGATGTAGCGGTAGGCGACGGCAGCGGTAGGGTGCGGGTGTGGGTCTGGTGGTGGCGTTGGGTTGCTGCGCGTGACATGGGGATGTGAGCGCAGGACGGCAGCGGTGAGGAGTGCGGGTGGTGGTGTGCGTGTGGCGTGTGGTTTGTCCGCGCTGAGCATGGAGTGTCGCGCGCAGGGACGCAGCGTAGCGTGGCAGGGTGTGAGTGGTGGTGTGGCGTTTGTCGGCGCGTGAGCATGGGATGTAGCGCAGGACGCTAGACGGGGGGCGGCGGGGGGGGGGTAGAGGGTGGGGGTGTGTGTGGTGTGGCGTTGTTCGGCGCGTGACAGTGGATGTAGAGCGCAGGGATGGCAGCGTAAGGGTGCCAGGTGCGTGGGTGTGGTGTGGCGTTGGTGCGGCGCGGGTGACATGATGTAGCGCGCAGGAGCAGCGTAGGGTGCAGGTGTCGGTGGTGGTGTGGGCGTATGGTTGTGCCCGCGTGACGATGGGGATGTAGCGCAGGACGCGCGTAGGGTGGCGGAGGGGTGTGGTGTGAGTTGTGCGGTTCGGGTGCGGGCGCGTGCAGGCATGGATGTAGCGCGAGGGGACGCGCGTACTGGGTGGCAGGGTGTGGTGGGTGGCGTGGTGGCGTTGTGCGGGGCGCGTGACATGGGTGTAGGGCGCCAGGAGGCAGCGGCGTAGCTCGCAGGGGTGTGGGGGTCCGCTGGTGTGGCGTGTTGGTCCGGCCCCGGGCGCCGGTGACATGGGGATGGAGCGGAGAGGAGCGGTCAGCGTAGGGTGCAGTGGCGTGGGCTCGTGGGTGTGGCGTTGGGTGTAGCCGCTGACATGGGATGTAGCGGCAGGACGCATCGTAGGGTACAGGGTGTGGATGTGGCTGTGGCACAGGCCTGTGTGTTGGAACATGAAAGTATATGCTATGAATCTTTTAAAAAATGGTCGGGGTAAAAATGGCTAAAGCCAGTAACTTGTAAAGTGGACGTGTCATAGGTTTTCTGTCAATAGGTCTAATGTCATACCTCACGCAGGTTTTCATTCGCGTGAGCAACTGTTTTAATGTGTTTGTTCCTCAGAAAACGATACCTTGTGTTATTGGAAGGGACTGCCAGAGAACAAAGAGACGGTTATAGCGTACAGGTACTAGCTTTAACAGCCAAATAAAAAATAACAAATCACATTAAGACTATAATAATGTTTCTGACAAACAACTCCTGGTGTGGGTACTAGCGCAGCCGACCAGGACTGTCTGTGGTGTGCGTCGCTCGCAGTTGGCCTCGACCTTCACGACTGACTCTTCGCCGTGTTCCCGGCAGGCCGTTCCCGAACAGCCAGCGCATCATGAAGCACAGTGCAAGGACACGGACATGCGTGCACGAACTGCGGCGCTGCGTGAACTACGCGGCAGCTCAGCCGTCATACTTCAGCCGTCGGCGAAGCAACTGCAGTCACCTGGCAACCTGGGTGGCGCGCCCGCTCTGCCAGCGCGCCGCCGCAGCCCCCGGCACCGCCGCTCAGAGGTACTGCGAGGGGGGGGTTGGCAGGAAGGGAGAGGCGGGAGTGGGAGGGGGTGGAAGGGGGCAGCCAACGGCTGCAGCCGCCCGCGGCAGCCCCACGCAGCCCCGCCGCTACAAGTATGCGCGGTGCTGGAGGGCTGAGAGAGGAGAAGGGAGGGGGTCGCCGCGCGCCAGGCAACCTTGGTGGCCCCATGGCACCCCGCCGCTACAAGGTATGCGCGCGCGGGGGAGGAACTCAAGACTGGGAGAAGAGGTGGGTAGGGAGTGGTCAGGTAGTTGCAATAAATCATTGCGCGAGCACGCGTTTACCGCATGACATTCTGCATGCGTCGCTAGCTCGGAGGTGCTTCAACCCCGCGCACTGAGAGCAGCGATGATATTTGACGTGGTGTGACGTGGGTGACGGTTGTCGCCGTGCGATTTTATTTCACGCTCGGTCGGCGATCGCAGCGGCGTCGGCGTCGCCGACCCCCCGCACCGATGAACGCATGCATGCAGTTTGAGGTTTTGCCGTTTGATGTGTTATCACCTCTTCGTTGTTTTTGTTTCTGTATTTTTTTTCTTCTCTCTACCGTGTAGGCATGCCCCCGCACCCGCACCCGTACCCTCACCCGCAAAACGGGGGCCTGCCGATGGGCTACCCCCACGTCCCCCAGACCCCGCCCCCGGGGTACCACCACGCCCCGCAGCAGAACGGAATGCCTGCGCATTACCCCCATCCCGGCGGCATCACCCCGCAGGGAGCATACATGGGACCCCCGGGCCAGCACGCAAGATTGCCGCCGGGGCAGATGATGCCTCCGCACATGCAAGGTATAAATCGTCTACGTTCTCTTGTTCTCTCGCTTTCTCGGTCTCGGCGGTGAGAGGGGGCGCTGTTCCGACCATTCGATGCACGTAACCACAGTAACACACTTTCCCCGCATGCTGGAGTTTTTTTTACACCGCCTTTCACGTAACGATCGTAGCGATAGTAGAAGTTCGAAGCCCGAGATTAACTGAATATTGGTCGGTGGTGGGTGTCGATCACACGCAGCCACGTTCCGACGCCCGATTCCGCTAAACTCACGCGCCGTCCCTCTCCCAGGGGGAGCCACGGTCGTCTCGTGCGTCCGCTGTGTGCTCACAGTGTGACAGACGCAGCGGCGCTACGTCTTAATCGGAATTCGGCGTCGGAACGTCGGCTTGCGTGTGAAGTTGCCTAATCTGGATTGCGGTTTCACACTCACTGACCTTGAGGGGCGTCTGAAGGTTAACCTGTTAACGTAACGTGATGGGGTCAAAGGTGATGGCGGTTTCTGCATGAGCACTGCACTCTACCCAGTTTGTTTTTTTCTCAAGGTCGCATGCTGCCGGCTGGAGTAGCCTACCTGCCCAGGCCCTCTCTCCCGTTCTCCCACCATCCTCAGCCGCATCCCGCTAGCCTCGTGTCAAACCAGGGGCATTACGTTCAGCACTATCCCCCGCCTCCGCCGCTGCCGCCGCCGCCACAGATTGCACTTCAGCCAGCTTTCTCTGCACAAGGTAGATGGTCTAGACTTTACACTGCACTGTTGCTCTCCGAGAGTCACTCTCTTCGTACGGAAGCGCGTGCGTGCGTGCGTGCGTGCGTGTGTGTGTGTGTCTGTTTGTGTGTGTGCGTGCGTGTGTGAGGTGAGTGTGCGTGGGTGCATGCCTGCGTGCGTGCGTGCGTGCGTGCGTGCGTGCGTCTATGTGAGTGTGCATTAATGTTTGTGAATTTCTGTATATCTGTATCAGGGAGTATATATATATGCGTGTTCAGCTAGGTGAATGCTGGGACAGTACGTCATTAATTCATTTAGATAATTAACATAAGCTGTATCAATCATCTCTGATACATCACGTACATTTTTCGCTGCACAACCGATTCTCGATCTGCGCGCCATTAGTCTTTATGCCTTACAATGCCATCTTTTTCCATCCCAGTGAGTAATGCACGCCGTCTATATTTGTCGAGCTACAGACGTTTGCTTTTGCCTGTAGGAAGTGTTTAGGAGCGACTACCAGGCCAAGCGACCGCTGGGAAGCGTACTGGGCAAGTGTCACGTCATGTTCGTCAAGAACTACTTCACCAGCCGGCCGGAGGTGAGCGTTGTCCGTCGCCGTGGTAACGAGTTGGACAGACGCGAGCGCGGTAGTCGTTGGCTGACGCTAGTTTCGTGGCGTGCTTGTACATGAACAACTAGAAGTTTGACAGTAGTCTCCTAGCATGCTTGCCTATAAATGAAGTTTAACCTATATATACCTAATCTATTTGACTATATAAACGACCCTGGAGTCGGTTTCGGGGCGTGCTTGTATATTAACGAGTCGTTAACTCATACACACGTACGTTACCCATGCACAGTCTGACGCTACATTCGCGCCCGTATATTAACAAAGGGTTAACCTATACACGAGTATATAAACAACCCATGGTCTGACACTAGACTCGTGATCGTATATTAACTCGTATATAAACGAGGGGTAAATCTATACACGTGTGTGTGACCCGCCTCGCAGGGCTTCCAAGACAAGGACGTGTTCGTCTGCGAGTCACGCTACAGCGTCAAGAGCCGCAGCTTCAAGCCAATCAAGAAGTGGCAAGCGCCCGTCAACCCGCACGTCGTCGTCGTCGCCCGCGACTGCCCCCTGGTGCCGACGCGCGTCCCGTCCGTCTTCGCTCCGAAGAAGGCCTACGACGCGAGCGGCTTCCACGGAGAGTTCATGATCATCGACAAGGACCGACCGGTAGGTGGCGCCAGTGTAGCAGGGGAGTGCGAGGGGGTGCGGTGTGCGAACCCTTCTGTCATATGTTCTCGTCTAATACTACTTTGCAAAAAAAAGGTCAAATCCAGGTTTAAAAAGACACGTGGCTAAATAACAACGAATACCTACAAGAAATAATTTGTGTTAAAAAATTCATGTAAAAATTTCAGATCATGTAAAGAGTTTTCATAAAAATAAATTTATTAACAAATTCATGTAAGAGTTCTGACGATATGTGGCTAAACAGCAACGAGGAATTCCTAGGAAACAATTTGTATTTAATTAGAATTCACGTCAAGATTTCAGATCGTGTAAGAATTCGAGTCCTTTCCTTCTCTTCCGTCAATTCGAAAGTCTTGTCGCATCTGTTGTCATCGACGGTAACAATGATCCTGCGTCCGTTTCGTTGCAGAACGTGTCGTGCAACGTTGCGAACCCGGACGAGGGTTGCAGCTACTACGACCAGTACAACATTCCGCTGGGCACGTTCAAGCTGGGTGACTGCGTGTATGTGCGCTCGGAGAGCGAGCGACCCTACATCGCTCGCATAGACGAAATGTGGGACCGGCACCAGCAGGTGACGTGGTTCGCTGCTGCGCCTCCTGAGTATATATATACTATTTTATGTATTATACTATTATAGAGAGAGGATTTAGAGAAGAGAGGGAGGGGCGAGATATATATATAAAGCAGTAAGTCAACCCTCTTGAGAGTTGACTTGTGTGCGGTATAATATATCGTGCCCACTACTCTGAAGACTATGGACGTTGATTACACGGTGTGATTTCTTCTAAACGCTGCAGGTACAACGGTTTTTTTGAAAGTCTAGCTTTCACATAAAAGATTAGTTATGCTTGGGCACGTGTGCTGTAAAATGTGCCTCATCACGTGCAACCAGGTGCGGGCCGTTGTTCAGACACAAAATTGGGCGGCTACATTAGTTTAACTATTAACTTTTTCTCTATAGACCGTTGACAGACAATGCTGCGTAAGTTTACGGAGACATTGAAAAATCGTAGCACGATTTCCTCATAACAATCACGAAACAACAGTGATGTCGACGGTCTAGGAGAAATGTTTAATGTTAAGACTTAAGTTAAGATCAAATTTTTGTTGCCTTGAAACGGCGGCCCTGGACAATTTAGCCTCGATCTTGGCCACTGTTATCAGCCCGCCGGGGTTCTTGTCGATGGCGTGGTACCTAACGAGCTTTTTCGAGTTATTGTAGACGGTTTGTCTTAGTAGATTATCCCAGGCGATTAGTATATGGGGGCGGACATTTGTCGTGCGCTCGGTGACATTCGTTCTCCGGCGGGGGGTGCGGGCGACGCTGCCCGGCGCCCGCCGGCGGTTAACATCGGTCATCATCGCGGTGATATTGTTTCGTATTGTCGTTGACAGCGGCGGACCCTCCTTCCACGGCGGCCCGTGGGTTCAGTCCACCGGCGGAGCCGGGGGGGTGCTGAGTGCGAGTGGGCGGATGCTCGCCAAAGTATGTTCTACATCAGGGGAGAGGTGTTTCCTCCAGCTCGTCGAGACACGAACCCATGCTGAGCATCACGGGCAAGTCTGGGCCGTGCCTCTCATTACCGCTGACTACAAACTCATGTTGTGAGGCAGTGCCGGAGGAGGGTCGCGGGGCCGTGAGTGCGCGGGGAGAGGCGGGGGGCGGTCTGCGGAGCATGATGGGCGGTGACGGGTGCGGGGGGCGGTCGGGCCCGACGAGCTCGGTGATCGGCCCCGGGGGGCCGGGTGACTGGGGGTCAGGGATTGGCCCGGTGACGAGGTCAGGCGGCGGAGACAGTTGATTGCCTATTGTGTAACCTATTCTTGGAGTTTATCGTATGGAATATAATCTCAATATCATGGTGTGAATATATATTATACTATAGGTATATAGAATAGCCCATATTCTATATAACTTCATTACTATACGCTATCACATTGTTTTACGCATTCAGTTACGGCGTGCTCACGCCGGATGGATGTTCTTGTGTTTGTTTGCCCTGCAGTGCGCTCCGACGGAGGCTGTGAAGCCGAGCAGCGGGGACGTGTACGGTGTGCGACCTCGTCGGCTACCAGGAGGGCGCTGAGCGGCTATACGCCAAGCTGCTGAAGAGGCGATCAAGCCGGCGCCGCGAAGGTGTCGCCCCTCCGCAGCGTCACCGACGACGAGACGCTACTACTTCAGGCAGGCCGTCGTCCTGCCGCAGGAAGGGTGCATTACCCCTCTGTCGCCGCCACCGTCGGGCGGTCCGACGTTAACTCTGTCACGGTCGTCCGCGGCGTGTAGCTGTGGGTGTTGGGTGTAGTAGAGCTGTAGCTGTGGGTGTGGGTGTAGCTTAGGTAGCTAGTAGTGCCGCTGGTTGTGGCCCGGGCTGTAGCATAGAGCTGGTGAGCTCTGGTGGGGTGTGGGTGCTTGTTAGCTAGAGCTGTAGCTGTGGGGTGTGGCGCTGGATACGCTTAGAGCTGTGCTTCTAGCTCGTGGTGGGGGCGGTGTAGCTAGAGCTGTAGCTGTGCGGGTGTGGGTCTGTAGCTAAGCTGAGCTGTCGGGTGTGGGTGTGTAGCCTAGCAGGCTGCTAGCTGGGGGCTGTGGGGTACTGTAGCTACGGAGCTGTAGCTGCGCGTGGGGCGGGGTGTGGGCTCGGTGTAGCTAAGCCTGTAGCTGTGGGCGCGTGGGTGCTTGTAAGCTGAGAGCTGTGCATAGCTGGTGTGGGTGTAGTCTAGAGCTGTAGCTTCGTCTTCGGTCGTGGGGCCTGTAGTAGGAGCTGTAGCTGTGGGTGTGGGTGTAGCTAGAGCTGTAGCTGCTGCGACGGTCGTCGGCGTCGCGGTCGCCGGCTCTCTGCTTAGCTAGAGCCTGTAGCTGTGGGTGTGGGACTGTAGCTATGAGCTGATGCTGCGGTGGGTGTAGCTAGAGCTGTAAGCGGGGGCAGGTGTGGGTCTTGTAGCTAGAGCTGTAGGCTGTGGGTGTGTGGCTGGCTGTAGCTACTGAGCGAGCTGTGGGTGTGGGTGTAGCTAGAGCGTTGTTAAGCGTGGTGTGGTGTGTCAGCTAGAGCTGCGTAGTGTGGGTGTGGTGTAGGTAAGAGCTGTAGTGTGGGTGTGGGTGTAGCTAGAAGCCTGTAGGCTGTGGGTCGTGGTGTGTAAGCTAGAGCTGTAGCTGTGGGCTCTTACATGTTATAGATTTATAGTCTGCTATAGGGGACCTTTAAATATTTATTTATTGTAAAAAAAAAAAAAAAATTCATAATTTTGAGTTTGTAGCATTCATAGTTGTGTTGATAGTTTCAGTTACAACCTATAATTCATAGTGTTATAGTTAGGAGCGACGGCTGTCACGGGCGGGCTTTCTTACTGTGTAGCGTACAGTTATAACCGCTTTGCCGTGTGCACGGCCACAAGTGTTATAATACAGTCGGCGATCCTCTCGCGCGGGCAAGGGGGGGGGGGAGGAGCCGTCACCGCTCTGGCGCAGGCGCGGGGAGGAGTGGGGAGGAGGCTGATTGAAGACGGAGACATATTCGATGGCGGAGAGCGCAGACGGCAGCGCCGATCTCCCCAACTCTCAACAGCGGCACGCCGATGGGAACCCCCGCCTCTCCCGTCCATGGCTCGATGAGTCCACGTGAAATATTAACAGATTTCGGATTCCGGTTTTCCGGGTTCCAGCCTGTCAATTTCGGGTTCCTGTCATTAATCTGGCACGCAAGCAATCTTGCTTTGTGGTCTTAAACAATTCCTGTCTAATAAACTCCGTGCGTGGATTTTGGCCTTGGTTGTGTCAGCAATGTGTTGAGGCTAGTAATCGCTGACGTGAACAATCAGAACAGCGAACTTAGTATTGACTAACTGAACAACTAGGGGAACTAGTGGTCGACTTGAGAACAGTGAAATGAACTATCAGTGAAAACAGAACTGTCGTGAACAGCTGATCAAATAAGTGAACAGTCAGTTTCACTAGTGAAAACTTAGTGATCGCATTGGTGAATGTGTTGTGTGTGTGTGTGCTTCTCGACTGTTGTGATACTGAGCCCTGGCTGGTGCGTTGCAGGCGTGAGCGCGAGTCAGTAAGATCGGCATGAGCGAAGTCTGCTAGCGGCTACATATGTTCGCGGCCGAGAACCGCAAGCAATGTTGACGATTCACCTATCCAGACGCGTCGGAGATCAGGCAAAGACGTGTTGACAGGGAGGTAGGAGAGCGCCATCCAATAACTTCTCTGTCTCTTCTCTCTCTCTCTCTCTCTCTCTCTCTCTCTCTCTCTTCTCTCTCTCTCTCTCTCTCTCTCGTCTCTCTCTCTCTCCCCTCTCTCTCTCTCTCTCTCTCTCTCTCTCTCTCTCTCTCTCTCTCTTCTTCTCCTCTTGTTGTATCTCTCTCTCTCTCTCTCTCCTCTCTCTTCTTCTCTCTCTCCTCTTCTCTCTCTCTCTCTCTCTCTCTCTCTCTTCTCTCTCTCTCTCCTCCTCTCTCTCTCTCTCTCTCTCTCTTCTCTCTCTCTCTCTCTCTCTCTAACGTGTAGAAGAGGGTGGCGTCTTGCCTACAGGGGTTAATGCATACCTCGCCGGCGCACACCGCGCGCCGTGACTCACTCTCTCTCTCTCCTTGCTCGCCGGATTACAGTGGCCGCAGCCTGGATGCGACTCAGAGGCTGGCTATGGAGGACTTCGAGCGCATGGTGATGGTGGAGGCGTTCCTAAGGGCCGAGATGGAGGCGCTGTACGGTGACGGCGGGCCGCCCGCAGCGTGCCCTTCCACAGTAGGTGCTACCCTTACAAGCGTACGAAGGTACGTCGGTGCCTTACAGCTAGGTGGACTGGCAATGTCTGCCAGGGCTTTCTCACTTATTATATATAATACTAGGTATATTATATATATATATATATTACACACCCTCTTTGCAGCATACTAAGGTTAGTTAAACGTACATTCATTCTAACATATCATTTTACATATCAGTGCCGTATTGCAACGTCAATTTCATGCACTATGTCGTATAGACAGTGACAATATAGCCGACTTCGTCTCTATCGCGGTCTCGTTTCTCTCCTCCTCACTTGCCGTAGATTCCTGCACCAGGCTCTGTCGTGCTCTATCATCTCACTTTATATATGCTCTTCCTCGCTCCTCCTCTCCTCTTGCCTCATCCTCCTCCGTGCGGCGACCGTGTGCATATCTCTTCCTCCTTGCTCTTAGATCCTGCACCCGGGCCTCGATCTACCGTGCTCTATCACCTCAGTCTCATTCGCATGGCTCTTTCCCTCCTCCCTCCTCCTCCTCCGTGGCGGACGTGTGCAGATCTTCTTCCTCCCCTTGCTCGCTAGATCATGCACCCGGGACCGGGCGGAGGTGGCGTCGCACGCAAGTAGTCTGCTGCCAGCGATGCGACTTCAGGTTTTGAGGAATCCAGCAGGATTCATCGAGCTACGTCCAAACGCTCGACTCGCAGAATGAACGGCCACCTGCAGCCTGTCGGCAGCGTGCGAGGCGACGCGGTTGGGCGCGGGACGCTGGACACCCGGGTGGGCGTGGGGCGTGGGACGATGCAAACGCGGGCCCAGGGGTGGGGTGCAGGATGCGGGGTGGCGCAGAGGGGGGGGTTGTGGCACTGGCGGTGGGCGCGGGGGCGGGGCGTGCAGGACGCGCGGCGGCGCAGTGGCGTGCGGCCGGGGTTGGGGCGGCTGTAGGGGCGTGTGGCACGCAGGTGGGGGGCGATACGCAGGGTGGAGGCCTGTGCGATGCGTGAGTGGGGCGGGGCGCGGGTTGGGTGCGCTGCGTGCGCGGAGGTGGGGTTGGGTGGGGGCGGGGGACGCAGCTTGGCGCGTGCGTGCGACGCAGGTGCGGGCGGAACGCATGGTTGGGCGTCTGCGACGCGGAGTGGGGCGGACGCGGTTGGGGCGGCCCGTGCCGACGCGGCGGGTGGGGTGCGGGACGCGGTGTGGGTGCGTGCCGACGTCGGCGGGTGGGGCGAGGCGGGGTTCCTGTGGCGTGCGGGTGCGGGGGGGGGCAGCGGGGGTAGGGGCGGAACGCGGCCGGTGGGGTGCAGGACGCGGGGTGGGCATGTGGCGCGGAGGTGGGGCGCTGGTACGCGGCTGTTGGCGTAGTGCAGGACACGCGGGTGGGACATGCGGCGCGGGGTTAGGGCCGTTGCAGCGCGGTGGGTCGGGAGGCGCGGGCGGCGGGGTGGGGCGCGTTGTCGTAAGGGGCTGTGCACGGGGATTGCGTGTGTGGAGGGATGTTGGGTACGCATGTGGGTGTGGCGTTGGTCGTGCGCTGACATGGGATGTAGCGCAGGACGCAGTAGGGTGCAGGGTGTGGTGTGGTGTGGCACAGGCCCTGGTGTTGGAACATGAAAGTATATGCTATGAAATTTTTAAAAAATGGTCGCCCGGGTAGAAAATGGCTAAAGCCAGTAACTTGGTAAGTGACGTGTCATACGGCTTTTCTGTCATAGGTCGTATGTCATACCTCACGCAGGTTTTCATTCGCCGTGAGAATGTTTTAATGTGTTTGTTCCCTCAGAAAACGATACCATGTGTTATTGGAAGGGGACTGCCAAGAGAATCAAGCAGACGGTTTATGCGTACAGGTACTAGCTTTTAAAAGCCAAATTAAAAAATACAAAATTCACATTAAGACTATAATAATGGTTCTGACAACCAACTCTGGTTGGTACTTATGCGCGCCGACCAGGACTGTCGTGTGTGCGTTGCTCGGTGCCTCGACCTTCACGACTGATCTTCGCCGTGTTCCGCAGGCCGTTCCCGAACATCCAGCGCATCATGAAGCACGTGAAGGACACGCACATGCGCACGAACTGCCGCTGCGTGAACTACGCGCAGCTCAGCCGCAACTTCAGCCGTCGCGAAGCAACTGCAGTCACCTGGCAACCTGGGTGGCCGCCCGCTGCTGCCGCCCCGCCGCAGCCCACGGCACCCCCGCCGCTCAAGTACTGCGAGGGGGGGGTTGGCAGAAAGGGAGAGGGGGAGTGGGGAGGGGGTGGAGGGGCAGTCAACGCTGCAGCCGCCCGCGCAGCCCCACGGCATCCCGCCGCTACAAGTATGCGCGGTGCTGGGAGGCTGAGGAGGAGGAGAAGGGGCGA